ACAGTTATCAGCCACAACCTTTTCATAATGGAGATATAAAGAAAAGGGAGTATCATAGAAGTAAAAATTATGATGCGAACAAAAGGCACAAAGAAAATATTTGTTATCGATGTGGTATGAACGGTCATTGGTCACAGACCTGCCGCACACCAAAACATCTTGTTGAGTTATACCAACAATCACGGAAAGACAAAGGGAAAAGTGTCCAGATAAACTTTGTATCTGATGACCTTGGTGATTTCATTGATAATGAAGCGGATGGGACACATCTGGATATCGCAGATTTTCTTGATCAGTCCGAGGAGAAAATGACCAATGAGTAAAAGTTGATATGAAGTCTGTTATAAGTTCTGAATGTTGCATGTTATCTTTCTTTTAAAATATGTTTTCATGTAAAATGTTGTTGTATGTTTTTCTAGATTTCTATTGTACTCTGAAGTTAAGTTCTTGTGTTATGTACTATTTTTATCTTATCTTTATTTTCAGGCATTTTCTCATCTCTTACATTGATCGATTCAACTTGAAATATGTCAAAGTACAAGATAAAGGACGGGGATATATGTTTGGCCGATAGTGCTACGACTCATACGATATTGAGAGATGAAAAGTACTTCTCTGAATTGAGGATTACTGAATCCAGTGTTACTACGATATCTGGAAATGCGAGAATCATCATGGGTTCTGGAAAAGCCAATTTTATGATGTCTCGAGGTACAAGGATTGCAATAAATAATGCATTATTCTCTCCAAAGTCTCAAAGAAACTTATTAAGTTTTAAAGATATTCGTCAAAATAAATATCATATAGAGACTATGTGTGAAAATAATCAGGAATACCTTTGTATCACATTAATAATTTCTGGAAAGAAGTATGTGATGGAAAAATTATCGGCATTATCTTCCGGATTATATTCCACAAAGATATATGTGATTGAATCATATGCTACGATGAACCCACGATTTGGTGATATATTTAAGATTTGGCATGACCGATTGGGGCATCCTGGTTCAATAATGATGCGGAGAATTGTAGAAAATTCTAATGGTCATCCATTAAAAAATGAAAAGATTTTCCAATCTCATGAGTTTACATGTACCGCTTGCTCCCAAGGAAAATTGATAATAAGACCATCATCGACCAAGGTTGGAAATGAATTACCGTCATTCTTGGAACGAATACATGGTGATATATGCGGACCAATTCATCCACCTAGTGGACCATTTCGATATTTTATGGTCTTGATAGATGCATCAAGTAGATGGTCATATGTTTGTCTATTATCAACCCGCAATGTTGCCTTTGCGAGGTTTCTTGCTCAAATAACCAAATTACGAGCTCAATTCATTTATAGTTTAGGCGGCATAGCCGACCATCACGATAATAATAATAATAATAATAACAATAGAAACATTTATAAACATTCATACCATATTTATAGTTTAGGCGGCATAGCCGACCATCACGGTAATAACAATTAACAAGAAATAAATATAAACATTCATATCATATTTATAGTTTAGGCGGCATAGCCGACCATCACAGTAATAATAATAATAATTTTTTAAACATTAATATTATATTAATTTATAGTTTAGGCGGCATAGCCGACCATCACGATAATAATAATAATAATAATAACAATAGAAACATTTATAAACATTCATACCATATTTATAGTTTAGGCGGCATTAAATTTTTCTTAAATTTTTACTTGCAAAAAAAATATAATCATGAGTAACGTTAATATGTTTTATGTTTCTTTTTTATAGTTAACATGTCGAACTTGGTCAACCTCAAAATCGCTGCTCTAGATGCTTCTGGAAAAAATTACATGACTTGGGCATTAGATGCCAAAATGCATCTGAAGGCAAAAGAGATTGTAACAACAATCGATAAAAAGCAAAAATGAGAGTAAACCTTATGAGGTTTTTGTGTAACATTAACAAGGAGGTGTACTACATATTTATAGGAAAAGAGAGGTAACTCCTTCATCATTAAGGAGTTAATCTTATTGGACAATTAGAAGGTCCACATATTTATAATAGATATGAAATAATTAAATTAAAGGGGATGAAAAATCATTGCATTGATTTGGCTTTGCCGGGGAAAAGCAAAGGCCGTCATCAATCAGTTTATCCCCACACTTCTCCTTTTTCAAATAACAAAATCCCTAAAGGCTGAAGCTTTTTTTTTTCTTTTTTCTCTTTGCTCACTCACTAAACTCAGCCCCTGTTTGGATGCCCTGAAAATGATCTCTTTCTCGGGAAAATAGGACTGGAAAATGGGGTGCGTGTTCGGTAGGCAAGTCTCCGGGAGGCCTGTTGAGAGGAGCAGGCGGGAGAACGAGGAGGTCAGAGTTAACCCGGAGGCGAGCGACTATGACGGCGGCCATGCGGAGGCGGAGAGGCGGAGCGAGAGAGAGAGGGGCAATGCGAAGGTAAAGGAGAAGGAGAAGAGGAGATCGTCGAGGATGAATCCGTGGTTGAGCAATCCGCCGAAGCACGTTCACGGGGAGCAAGTCCGTCGCCGGCGAGGCTATCAGTGGCTGGACGCCTCGCCGTGCCGACAGCTTCGAGAAGCTCGATAAGGTAAGTAAAGGGCATTCACATAGACGCAATGTGGATCAAATTTAGGGACTTTGGGTTTTGGTTCTTGTGCCGCTTGAGCAATGTCACTTCTCTGTATGGTTCAGATCGGGCAAGGAACTTACAGTAACGTGTACAGAGCGAGGGACGCTGTAACTGGCAAGATTGTTGCATTGAAGAAAGTCCGGTTTGATAATTTGGAGCCAGAGAGTGTTAAATTCATGGCGAGGGAGATTTTGATCTTGCGGCGGCTGGATCATCCCAATGTTATTAAACTGCTTGGGTTGGTCACTTCAAGAATGTCTTGCAGCTTGTATCTCGTGTTTGATTATATGGAGCATGATTTAGCCGGTCTAGCCGCTAGCCCCGAGATCAAGTTCACCGAGGCTCAGGTACACGAATCGTGGTTATGGAGTTGGATTTTGAGCATTGTCTCCATGACATTTAATTAGCTGTCTTGATCTGAGTCTTTGTTGATGGGTTCCAGGTGAAATGCTATATGAACCAGCTGTTGTCAGGGCTCGAGCATTGTCATGACCGGCATGTCCTGCATCGCGATATCAAGGGATCTAATTTACTGATCGATGGTGAGGGAGTTCTCAAGATTGCTGATTTCGGGCTGGCTTCGTTCTTTGACCCGAATAACAAGCACCCGATGACTAGTAGAGTGGTAACACTATGGTACCGAGCTCCCGAGCTTCTTCTCGGGGCAACTGATTACGGGGTTGGTGTTGATTTGTGGAGCGCCGGTTGCATCCTGGCTGAACTGTTATTTGGTAAACCTATCATGTCTGGTCGCACAGAGGTAATGACATCGTTTTTTCATGTCTTTTTATTACATGTTGCTGATACGTAAAACATTGTTGTCTGTCCCTTTGTCTTTGCATAATATTAGGTGGAACAGCTGCACAAGATATTTAAACTATGCGGCTCCCCTTCAGACGAGTACTGGAAAAAGTCGAAGTTGCCACACGCAACCATGTTTAAGCCCCAACAGCATTACAAGAGACGGATCGTAGAGACTTTTAAGGACTTCCCTCAGTGTTCACTGCCGTTGATCGAGACCCTTCTCGCTATTGACCCTGCAGATCGTGAAACTGCAACCGCTGCTCTGCGGAGTGAGGTGAGATCTGATGTTCTTGGGAATCTTTCGAGAATGAATGATTCATCGATCATGACCATTTTTTCCGACATATACGCGGTTCATTGCTGGCTTTTACAACAGTTCTTCTTGACGGAGCCTTACGGTTGTGAACCTTCAAGCCTCCCGAAATATCCTCCCAGCAAGGAGATGGATGCTAAACTGAGGGATGAAGCAGCCAGAAGGTCAGGAAATATAGAAACCTGTAGTCTCTTGTCTGAAGTTTATGATCTTCCAAGATGTGTTTGATTGTTTCTCATTTTTGTTCTGTACATTCTCCAGTTTGAATCAAATTCTATCAATTTTTAGTCGAAAACCAGTGAGCTTGGTACCTGTCTGATACTGTTCGTGTTTTTGCTCCTTGTTAACCTGATTTGATATGCAACGTAAATTAGATTGAGAAGAGCGGCGAAAGCGAATGGAGATGAAGTGAGGAAAGGAAGATCTCGTGCTCGGGCAATGCCTGCTCCAGAAGCCAACGCTGAGCTTCAAGCAAATCTTGATGTACGTCAGATAAGCTTCTGTCATATTCTCAAACAGATGTTGACGATGCTTCCTGTCTTGTTCTTACTTTCTTATTGCATTCCCGATGTTCGGACAGAGACGACGTATGATAACGCACGCAAATGCGAAGAGCAAGAGCGAGAAGTTTCCGCCTCCACACCAAGACGGAGGAGCCCTCGGGTACCCGATTGGCTCAGCCAATAACGAATCGGAGCAGGGTTTCATCCCATTCAGCACCACGAATTTCTCATTCGCTAAAGACCCGGTCCAGACATGGTCTGGTCCGTTGGTGGATTCGCGCAAGAAACACGATGCCGCCGCCATGGACAGGAGGACATCCAAGAGAGATTCAAGAAGAGACAAGAAGAACGCGGCTCAAATCTGATAAGAGGAACACAGGTGAATTACTATTTTTTTGGTCGATAGGTTCACGAAAGTTCTGTGATGCATGTTGCTTTCGACCCAAGAAACCAAGATTCGAGAAGATGGGGATCTTGCGATTCTCCCGTTCTCCTTCCTCCACCCAGAACAGAAATATCTCAGTTTCTTCAACACAGCTGTATATTCAATGTAAACTACTCATCTCTGTCCCAAGTGCTTGTGTTTTTTTGGTTTCGTGTAAAAGCTCACTTATGTTTTTTTTTTCCGAGGAATTTCTGGAAATTAAGATATTTTAAATCTAATCGGATGAAACTTCATGGATGATTGATTTATTCAATCCATCCGAATTTTATGACACTCCGAGTTTCAGTAATCGTTAACAATGGATATAATCACGAAGACGGATGAACAACAAAAAAAAACTACGGAATACAGGAGGAACTACAACACCATGAACATATCTCAGCTTCTTAGCATCAAACAGACCAAAGATTTTCTTTCCTAAGAGAAAAAAAAAAGACAAACAAGAAAACAGACACAGAGACAATGGCTTCAACTAGATACAGACAACAACAACAACAAGGGCACCTTCTGTTTCTCTCTTCCGTTCACTCGCAGGCGATTCTGGTCTCGAAGCTGCTAAGGCAAATGGCGAAGGCCTGAAACGCAGAGATCGGATACCCGAAATCCATGGTGAAGATGTCCTTCCCCACTTTCCCGAACTGAAGTATTATCCTCTCGTTCCTTTGCTGCTGCTGCTGCGATGGCTGGCCCGTTTCCCGACCAGCCGCCACAAGCTGAAAGTTTTTAACGGATGCGAACGG